AGCTGAGTTAGGTGATTGCTGATCGCTGTTGATGTGACATGATCGCAGCGATGAGTTATGTGACCACCGACCACCGTTGACGTGACATGATCGATCTGGTAAGTTTTGTGGCGGCGGGTCGCTGTTGATGTGACATGATCGCCGTGCTGAGTTATGTGATGGCTGACCGCTGCCGATGTGATGTGATCGTCGCGCTGCTGACTGCTTGTTCCTTGTCATCGACGTTCTCGCTGGCCTCAGCGCTCGTTGCAGCGCCCGCCTCACATCCGTGGAGCGCTGCGACGAGTACATCCGCAGCCTGGACTACGAGGCGCCGCTGCACGTGCCGGAACACGCGCCGCCGGCCTCCTGGCCGCAGCGCGGCGGTGTGGAGCTGCAGGGCGTGTGCCTCCGCTACCGGCCTGAGCTGCCCAGAGTGCTGCACGACATAAGTCTGCAAGTGCAGCCTGGCGAGAAGGTCGGCGTTGTCGGACGCACGGGCGCAGGTGCGACACGCGGCGAGGCGGGCTCGGGCCAGAGCGTGTGGCGTGTTGGTGGGCGTGCGCAGCCCTGGGAAGGTCTTTCTTGGACTCGACAATATCGTTAGATCCGTGCCGTTATGTAGGAAGTCAACCATGCGCTGTGCATGAAGCCGTGATGGAGATTTCCGTAGCCGCAGGTGGCGAGGCCAACGACAGAAGGGATGTACGATATCGAGATATTCCATGTTTCAACGGAGGCTTGTTGAGTGTGATGCAGACATGCTCTGTAGCTATGCTATGTAGCATGAGATGCTCAAGCTGGGGAAGGACCCCATGATAAACCCCTCATGGCGACTCAAAGTAGACGCAAGGTCTTTCCAGAACCTTGGGAGAGAGATAAAGAAGGAATAGGATTAACATGTTTTGTTTGTAGGTTTTATTGCAATGCCTGCACCAGCAATCCGTTTTCTTATGTGTCTTCAGATGCTAACAAGCGCTTACGCGCTTGCTTCGCTGCGCTGGTGTAAAATTTAACAATTTTTATCATGTATCTTTTGCAGTTGGAATCACGGTTTTAGGTGCCCTGGTTGCCAAAATATCGCGTATAGTGTGAAAAAGACTCGGCCGCAGGCCGCACGCGGTACTGGCGGTTCCTGGCGTCCGCTGGCAGGAGAGAGCGCATTTCCCCGCGCTCTCTGCAACACAGCCGAACTTATTCCATGGGATGAGCGAATGGTCGTGGGGTGTGGCTCGTGGTTTTTGCCCCTTCCGTCAACTGTCAGCCTTTTGAATGATGACAGCACTGCCGTTGTATTATATACTGCCGGGCGGAATGAGTGTCCCAACCGCCAAGTGGATGGAGAGGTTCAAAACCATGCACTCGACCTTCTGCACCCGTCACCATTTCGAACCGGACCGACTCTCCTGCTGACCGAGAGTCATCGAGTCGATGGTAGCGACCCGTGTGCGCGGAGCCAGGTCCCTGGATGTCCGGGTGGTTCGCCGGTTTGTTCGGCTGCGCACGTTCATCCGGCTTAGCTTTCTGAACCGAATGCGCCAAAAGAAGGAAGCTCTGCCAGTCACGCGAGAGGCTGAAGAGGCGTCAGTTTGCAAGGTGCGCGGTGGCGCAGCTGCACCGGAGGAGGTGGCCCGTGATCTACTACAACGGAGGAGGCTGCCCGTATCTGATTGAGCTGCACCGGAGGAGGCTGCCCGTGATCTGACACAAGCGGACACAAAGCAACAAGACGCAGGGTCTCGACGCTCATGCGGCTCCCGCTGGGCGCGTTTCATTGTAATGGACTGGGTTCGTTCCACTGTGGACGGAGTTGGTGCGGGACCAGTGTGGCGGCCCCTGCGTGACTGATCTCGGCCTTGCCGGCAGGTGGTCGAGCTAGACACGCCGCCTGGCGCTGATGGAGAACGAGAACTCGCTGTTCCGCCCAGATGATGGGCCACGCCGGCTTCACCACCGTTGAACAGCTGCTCGAGCTGCAGAGCAACAGACGGTAGACGACGCTGACTCGCAGACTCCAGCTCTGTTCTTTCGCTGTCAGGGGAGGCCGTCCGTTACGCTGTCACTCAATGAGATGTACGCCTCTTGTTGGGAAATCGTTTGGAAACCGTCCACGGCGCTGTAATGGGCCGTTACTCGAATGATAATCTCGCTGGCGGTGTAATGTGTGTTTACCGGCACGGGCGCGTGCGGAGTGAAGCCGACTGGCTCGGCCTCACGTGCGTCCGGCTCTGTTTTCTTCTCCAGTTAGTCGAGACAGCTTGGAAGTTCCGAGTATCTGCTGTGTGCACACGTAAACATGCCGCACGCATGCACCTAGTACATCGCCGGTAACGCTACGATGATTGCGGTGTGGTGTGATGACCAAGATAAGCAAGATAGCCAAGGTCAGTGACCGGTATCAACGTTGTGCCGGCGTCTCTCGTTTCGTCCGAATTCCTTGCTCACTTTGTAGAAATGAAGTCACACTATGTGCCTCGCAACGTTCCTGTCAACTGTCAGCGCTTAATCAACTAACTGCTTCTTCGAAATAAATGACCGTGTTTGTTCAGTTGGAATTGAATCGGCGGATAGAGACCAGCAGCCGATGATGTTCTGGTTGGCCATCTGACCGAGAGATGGCGCGAGAGTAGCCCAGGCAGCGCCATACCGGCAGGCAGGGGCTCGTTCTTCATTGGTAAAGGAAAATAAATTTCCAATATGGGATAAGAACATTCACCGATGAAGTGACCTGTTGAGATGTCACGTGGAAGATCGTTGGTTCTCTCTGCCAGGATGGAAAAAGGTGTGGAATTATTACTCATGCATACAAGACTGCAAGCGGTGCATTTGCAGCGCACCTTCACCCCAGTAGAGCAATCGCGTCTCACTACAATATAAATGCAAGTAATGCCACAGTAGCACTGGCGTAGAAAAATGAGTTTGCACGCTGTAGGCTTCGGCTGTGGTCCATTGGCACGCGGTGTAGTAATACCTTCGGTTACTCGCGGGGCTGAGCGGGGTTTGCTGCGAACGAGGGCGGATCTCAGCTGTCTGTGGTAGGCAACAGAAAGCGCATTTCACTGCGCCCTCTCCATTCATCGCCTGCTCGGTCTTGACATTGTATTTCACAAGCATCAAATCCAGAATGATTAGGCGTTCGCCGGGCTCTCCTCAGACTGTTTCCGTTTATACCCGGACTTGTTTCCTCTCGGACTGGGCTTCATCTGCCCTAATTTGCATACCTATCAGTTTACCCTGAGCCCGGCCATGCCGTCCATCTCACCGAGAAAAGCTGGGCTTGTCGGCTGTGAGCCGGATTAGTGCCGAACTAGCGGGGGTCCGCCAGAGCGCCCGCACAAACCCCGTTGAAGGGTCCCTGTGGGGGCTTGTTGGCGGAGGTCTCACACGAAGACAGCATGGCGAGGCTCCTGATCACTCTCTTAAGTGGCGTAACTCCTTTTTTAACTAAGAACCGGGAAAAACGCGATTACGCCGCTGCATCTTCTCAATCCCACAGTCCTCAATTGGGATTGCCATTACTGGCCGAAAAGACCCCTCCTCTTTTTCCCCCTTTTTTATTTTTTTAATTTTATTCCCCCCCTCTCCAATACAATCGGGCAGTTAGCCTGCACATCAGTTCGTGCATGCCTGAGCATGCCAGGAAAGCTGGAAGCCCGAGTGCCAGTCCGTGTGAGTGAGTGAGAGTCCGACCGTTCTTATTTCCGCCTCGGTGCTCCGCATCGAGAGCGGCTCACTGAGCTTCAGCTGACGCAGTCTCCCTCGTTACTGGCTCCTTCGCGTTTCCTTTCATTTGAGTCCGAATATGCGGTATGTGCTTATAAAGTCAAAGGTATAAAGTCTAACATGACGCCTATGAAGTCAAAGGTGGCAAGACCGAAATTCGGCAGAACATTAACGCATCCTAATGGGGCAACATGACGCAATTTTCCGCCCTTGCCCCGCACAGTTGACCAAATGGGCCCAATATCCGTAGCTTTGAAGGCGCTCAGAGCAGTAGTGTGTATGGTTTAAACCCGCCTCGGCCGAGCGCTTAGCATTAGGACCACGAACAAAGCGAGCGTCAGCGGCTGCTTTCCTGTTTCCAGTCAGATTCTATGCAAGAGGAGAACACAGCGGATCACGGCTTTACCGATACCCTCGGCGTGCACCCCTCTCCTCGTGCATACATTAGAAACTGCATAACCTCGTGCATATGTCCGTCCCGGTGGCTCAGTTGGTTAGAGCGCCTGCCTCCCGATTCACCCACCCGTGGCGGGGTGGGTTCGAGTCGCTTTAGGCGCTCGCTATTTGTCCTTGACAGGTATGGCCTGCGGCCGGTGGCAGCGGTCGCACTAAAGGTCAGTTGACGTCAGAGGGCAGGACGGACCGTGCCGAGCATTGCGGCACGTTAAGCTTTCGCCACTAAATTCTGCCGTTGCCTGGAATTGCGCGATCGGATGGTAGGGGTCGGGCTCACACAACAAGCACTGCTTAGCGTGAGCGCTGATCCCAGAAACCCATCCATTCAAAGGATTCGGATCAAATTTCTAAAAATAAAAATAAAAAACTGGCTGCTGGGAGAAGCCAGGGTGAGACAACCCAGGACAGGCGTTAAGGGCACAATTTTACCCTAACTTATAGACCATTTGGCACTGTTTGAGGAGCGCCAAAGTTCGCGTCTCTCGGAGGGGTGCCGCACGTGGCCCTTGATGCGGTTAGTGAAGTGCTTTATGGGTGATAGCTTTTATCGTGAGAAATGACTTATTATGACAGACGAGAGGTTTCTTTGATGACCAAATGGTCTCATCGTTTTTCCAGTTTTCAAAATTTGATGAGATGCATGATTAGCAATTTGTCATAATCATGAACACTAGTTTTTGCTTTGCACTCAAACGAATCAAGCGCGAAGAGATGTCCGTAGAGACTTATTTGTGACGTCATAAGCTGCTTCACTGGAAAACCAATCACAGGCATTCATTTCTAAGCCCTTCGACAAGGGTATCTTTCACACCTTAATAAACTCACCTTGCATCCAGTTGTCCTCCGCACCCCGCGCCCGTTCCTTGCGCCCCAGGTTTTTTTCCACCTGGGGTGATTTGGTGTGTGAGGTTGGGTTTCGTCAATTTCCGTCCGACCTTTTTTCTTGATTGATAATAACATCAGGGTTATCATCAGTACATGGGGTGTCCGTTAGCTATTATTGTTGTAGATGGTTGGAAATGAAGGATGAAAAGGTTCCTCTGAAGACGATATTGCAAAACTTTATTAATCATGTTGAAGATCTGGAAATGCGCTTAAAAGAGAATGAAGATCTTTATGAAAGTGAATTTCAGGTGAGGTCTTGTTTGTTATACATGTCCCGGTGTTACCACTGTGATGTAATCTATTGGGTTTACCCTTATGAAGTTTGTCAGATTTGCCTTAAAAACTTTATGCTAGGTGTTTCAGCTTTGTATGTAGATGTGATTTTCTTCTCTATTATTCTGTGATAAACACAGCATTGTCTTGGTGATTTTGTTCTTGGGTGGGCCACATCCCTTCTGGAAGGCCCGCAAAACATTGGAGTAAACCACTGGCTGTCTTGCATCATTAGGTAGCACATGTTTGCCCAAGGTGCCTATCAATGTGGAAAATGGCTGAAAAAATTTGAAAAAGTAAAGCAGCAAGCCATTTCTTCTAAGCAATGTTTTCCTCACAATAATGTGATCTTAAAACTGGGTTTGCTCCCTGAAAAGCTGTCATATTCATATGTGATGTGACACCAATCATACTATATTTGCTATCCATCTTAATTGATGCTTGCTAGTTTTGTGCTTCCCAGGTTTGTGCAATGGGTGATGCATATTGTACTGTGTCATTGCCTTAGTAGGTACATTTTGGCCAGATATAGGCAGATGATATAGCATCCAACATCAGAGATGGAGCTAGGAACCAGGGTGACAGGGAATGTGGCCCTTCTCATTTTCATGTCTTTGGGATTGTGTGGTGATCAGTGTGAGGAATGAGCTTCAAAAACAAGTTTGACCCTGCTGTGTATCAGCTTCATCTGTGGCCTAGTTCTAATTGCATTTGCCATATAGTTAAACAATATTATTGTGGTTGGTGCAATGCATGGCTGTCTCTTGTTTCTTTCAGTAGACCTAAATCTAACCTTACAGTACTGCTGATATGTCAGTGCTCAGATTATGTTCACATAATGAAACATTGAAGCATTGGATGTGCATGATGCAGCTAGTCATTTTTGGAGCTGGATATGTTAGTCTCAATGTAAAATTAACCTGGGTTCAGGTACATTGGTTCCCAGGTTGTTTGCCCTGGTTTGCTGGAATGCTCCCAGTTCAGTCTCAGCCATATATCCATTTTAAGTACCATTGTTATGCAGTGCCACCTTTCCTTATATTATGTGCTACAGCTACATTGAGGGATAACCTGATACCACCATTCCTCTCAGCCCATGGTATTCAAACCTGTTGTTGACTCATTAAGACAGGTGCTATTGCTCTCAATTTGCACAACATTTTAGCTGCCCTGTTAATGTATGCTTTATCATGAAATATTGCAAGAAATAGTTCAAGACCAGATGCAAAATGTGATAAGAGTTAAATATGGGATGGCAGGGATTGTCTTCAAAAACTAATAAAAATGATAAAAGGAGCTTTAGAAAATTGGTGTGTTGATGCATCGCTTGTGCACTAGTTCCAAAATGTCATGTGGCTTAAAAATTCCCTGGCTATAGGTGTGGGTTGGTGCAGAAATCTAGTCACCCAGGCTTGTGAGTTCTACCAGTTCTGGTAGCTATGAGAATGCCTTATGAACAGTAAGATGATAATGTTGGGCTGATATTGATGACCATGCATTGGCATTCAAGCCTATGTGATTTGCATAGCCCAGTGTTCTCTCTAGGTCATCACATGTGTTGAAGATGGATTTGAGAAAAAGTGATGTTGGCCATTTGATTGATTGCTGATGCACCTGTGGGTTGACCAGTTCTGGGGTCCCCTCATGAATTGTGGGTGCTATGTGCACATGCTCATTTCAGTAGTTTTCAGGTCTGTATGCTTGGTTAGTCACTGTCATGCATCAAATCCTGAAAAGCAATGTCAAGCAGTCCAATCTGTCTTTTTCACTCAATGAAGGCTTGTCAGCTGCACTCATGCACCCATACATCTGCCAGGACAATTGTCAGATCTCCCATGGCTCAAAATGGGTTCATCTCACATTGCTGGATGCTGGGTCATGAGGATCTGGACAGAGTCTGGATCTGCATTATGTAGCTTTTCTACTGTCAGCAAAGTACACTTTTTATATTAATCAAGTGATAAAGGGATATTTTTGTGCAGTTCTCTTGTTGCTCAAAATGGGATCATCTCACATTGCTGGGACACTGGGTCATCGAGATCTGGACATAGTTTGGGCCTGCAATATGTAGCTTTTCTTCTGTCAGCAAACTATATTTTCATATAAATCAGATGATGAAGGGATATCTTTGTGCATTGTGCACCTTTCGCAGCATATTCATATATAATTCAACAACTTGTTTGTAAATACCTTTTTACCGCAAAGCCTTTAAAATAATTGGATCCGGTGAGCAGATCTCTGAAGGCAACACTAAGTGTGTGGTTGCAAATTGTAAATGTTACTATCAGGCCGGGCTGAACTACTCAGGGAAATATTTATCTGTGTTCAAGTAAGACTTGCTTATCCTGCTGCATTGCTCATAGGAAACATGGATGCAATATCACTGCAGCAGGAAAATAATTCTTATATGTCTCCATGGAAGCAAAGTTTTGATGATTTACCAATGATTTGAGCTGTTCAGCTGCAAAGATAAGCCCTTTCAGATGTACTGAAAAGTATCATGTATGGGTGGTTCTTCCCCTCACAGTTTCTCTTTGCTATTTTATCCCTCACATTCTGTCTTCATTTTTAAAATATGTCAAAAGTAGAATTAGTTTCAAATAGTGTTGAGCTAGTGACTGAACATTTGTATCTTCAGAGACCTGACCCGGCTTGGCAAATGCACGCTGTTGATGGGTCTACATGTCAGCAACTGTAATGGTGCTACCACAATTCTTTGTGGGCAATGTTGTAATGTTGTGTTAATGATGATAGCAAAACAACTGCGAATGGGAAGAACACGGGTCGAAACCGAGGCCTGCTCTCGATAATCCGGACTTGCATCGGTGCGAGACTAAGGTCGTGCGGCGAAAAGGAGGGCGGGCAGTCGCATCGGCGAAAGTGGGAGTCGACGTGTGCAGCCACGGCCGCACAAAGCACGGGCGCGGCAGACTCGTCTTTGACGATTGGTGTCAGACCATGGTCTCCAGCCGGTAGATGAAGTGTAGACGCGAAACTGACGGATTGGCGCGGGCGGTTACATCATTCGCAGGACAGGAAACGAACTGAACACTGTCCTACCAGTAACGACGCCACGCACCGGCCGTGGATGGGAACCGATCACAATTGTAACCCAATGGGGGCCGAACGAGAGAGGCGTGCAGTCGTGGTAACGCACCTGGACAGTCCAGCTCACTGTTACCGATATTTGCCAAGGCTGTGGAGGCCTAAACGCAGACAAATTTTTCAGCGATGTTGTTTGTAAGGTGGCGCGCGAACGCTTTGTGGTACAACCTGTGCTGCTAAGCTCGCTAAAGTCTGCATTCATTGCATTGAGGACACATTTGTACAGGCTTTTGGAAGTGTCCATCCCCTCATACTTTGATATTATCTCCGTGTCAACAAGTGGAATAATGCATCATATTGCGCGGCCTTTCTGGTCACCTGTTTTTTCTGTGTCCTGGAGCCGAAGCGGTGGTGCTGTGCCATACCGTACGCGTTATCAGAACAGACAGCAAGCAAAACATAACTGGACAGCTTAGCCCAGATCAGTGATGTACTGCTACTGCTGCTAGCTACTGACAGTCACTGGTGTCGGCTGTGTCAGTAGCTAGCTTACAGTCGCCCTCGACTCTTGTTTCGAACCTCATGGACACCCCTGTGTTTCACTCTCAGCCGATCGTGGTTATGTCTGTGCTGAAACCATTTTGAGGTCGCGGCCAGGCACGTGGCGTGCTTGGTGCATTCCTTCGTTTCGTGAGCTCTGGGCAATTGGGCCGTTAAGTCGCGGTCCGGGACCGGTTTGGGGCATCCGTGTATACCAGTGCGAAATAAGCGCCCTGGGGCCCTTACGCGGCGATCTCTGCAACGCCCAGGGACGGAAGTTCCACCGTCTTATGGTATTTAGCTCAGGTGTATGCGCTTATTTGTCTGTTTGTGACTGCACACGCATTGTTCCTTTAGGAGCTGAAGAATATCAGTGATGCTTTGAAGACCCAAGAATACTATGCCTGCGCAGAGGGAGAGAAGCCCGTCAACAGGCGGAAAAATCGCTACAAGGACATCCTGCCTTGTGAGGACCTGAGGCACTTACCGGCATAATGCCAGCGGCTTGCTTTGCCACAGTTTAGAGATACAATTTGACAGCTTGCTGCCGGTCTCGCTGCGCTGTGGAATTGATGTTGTCGCGTACACGGTTGAATTGTAAGATGTGTGACAACCACCAGTTTGTCAGGACGTGTCCTTGAAATGGCGGCGGGTGCCGCGGTCGACAGTCGATGTCTCACTAGCGGTGTTTGTCAGACGTTGACGGTGGGTGCCGTGATTGACAGTCGATGTCTCACAAGTGCTGCCTGGTGGTGTTTGTCAGGCTTTGGTGGTGGGTGCCGTGCTCTGCAGTCGATATTTCACGAGTGCTGCCTGGCGGTGTTTGCCAGACGTTGAAGGCGGGTGTGGTGCTCGACAGCCGATGTCTCACGAGTGCTGCCTGACGGACCGTTTGTCAGACGTTGACGGCGGGTGCTGTGCTCTACCTGGCGGTGTGTTTGTCAGATGTTGACGGCGGGTGCTGTATTTTGCCCGACGGCGTGTTTGTCAGACGTTGACGGCGGGTGCTGTGCTCTGCCTGGCGGTGTGTTTGTCAGACGTTGACGGCGGATGCTGTGCTCTGCCTGGCGGTGTGTTTGTCAGACGTTGACGGCGGATGCTGTGCTCTGCCTGGCGGTGTGTTTGTCAGACGTTGACGGCGGATGCTGTGCTTTGCCTGTCGGCGTGTTTGTAAGATGTTGACGGCGGATGCTGTGCTCTGCCTGAAGGCGTGTTTGTCAGACATTGACGGCGGGCGCTGTGCCCAACAGTCGATGTCACGCGGGTGGTGCTCAGCGAGTTCCCGGGCGTGGCCGGGTCCGACTACATCAACGCCAACTACATCCGCGGCGCCTCCGGCTCGCCGGCCTACATCGCGTCACAGGTACGGCCGCCGTAGCTCTCCTCCCTCTCTCTGGCGCTGTCCTCGGCGGAACGTCAGCTGCACTCGGCCCGCTTCGCAGCCAGCGTGCAGTGATTGGCTAACTTTGCAATGTTGTGCCGTGTTGTTGCAATAGCCTGTTGCGAACAACTTAAATGAACACAACAGACGATAGTTTCATGTTATTCTGTCGTGAGTAATGTGGTTGGAACTTTTTTCTGTCATGACTGTCATGGTCGGTCTGCTCTAAAGCACCAATAAACAACAATAGCAAAAGCAAAGCACTGCCGTTAGTGAATGACCTGCCTTCTAAAAAACGGGTTCCACGATGCAACTCCGCTTTGTGGGGCGTCTGGACGAGGCCGTTTTATTAGGGCCCATTGGTGACCCTTTGTCGTGTCGTCGGTCTTATGCACCGAACACCACCAACGGCCGGCCCAGCGACTGATGGGCTGTGCGCTGCTGGCGGCTGGCCCCAGCGGCTGACGGGCTGGGCGCCGCTGACGGCTGGCCCCAGCGGCTGACGCGCTGGGCGCCGCTGACGCGCTGGGCGCCGCTGACGGCTAGCAGCGTCGAGCGGAGCGACACGCGCCGCTGACCGGCGGCGGCGTGGTGCCGGCAGGGCCCGCTGCCGCACACGGTGGCCGATTTTTGGAGGATGGCTGTCGAGTGCGAGGTGCAGGTGATCGTGATGGCCTGCAACCAGACCGAGTCTGGCAAGGTGAGACTACGTGACACCGCGCCACACAGGCGCCGGTGGCGACGATCGTGCCTCTTCTGGAAGGTGTAGGTCACTGTGACAGCGTACGCGCACTTGATATGTTAGCGAAGTCTGTTTCGGTGGTCATGCGAGCTGTCTAGTTACATAGCCGCCCTGAAGTCAACATCACCTATTGCGGAGCCGGCAGCGGCAGTGTTGGACGATTTTGCCGGTGGCATCGCTGCGAGTGCTTGCTCGGAGTAGCGCCGGTTGATGCCTCATCATTTTCCGTCTCATTCGCTGCAGCTGCTACTGAGACCTGATCATAAAGAGTGAGACCAGTGCACGAGTTGAAATGCCTGTGGCCTGGTTAACACGTCGGACAGTGTTTTTTATCTGAGCATTTTGATGCGTACACTTGACGCGTCATTCACGTAGATTACTCGCCGTTTGAACCCACTGTCACAGCGTGTTTCCGGCACCCGTCTTATGCAGTCTTCCTTCGACATTTGTATGGGGCTCTGAGCATGTTTGGTTCTGGGGCGGTCGGTCGTTGATGTTATAGCGTAACAGATTCGACATAATGTGTCGAATCTGTTGGGGTAGATAGACATGTTATGTCTACCTACGGCCATGGGTTCGTCTTATCCAAGTGTTCATTGACTGTAGATAGGACGTATGTCGTATCGTAAGGCTTGCTGTAGACTGTCCGTTTAGCATTAGCATTAGCATTTCTAGCTGGTATATCGAGTAGCCTGCTTTGTGGCAATAGTTGGTAGAACCTCCGGATGTAGTATCAGTCCATCTCCCCTGTCCGGGCCGCGTGACGACCTGGCCGCCAATGGTATGGCCCCGTCCCGCCCCGCCCCGCCCCACACGCGCTGACCGCTACCGGTCCGGCCGCAGCACAAGTGCGAGAACTACGTGCCGGAGTGTGAGGGCGAGCGGCAGGCGTTCGGAGACGTGACGGTGACGCTGAGCCAGAGCCGTCACGTCTGCCCCGACTTCACCGTCCGCAAGCTGATGGTCCGCTACACCGGCACCAGCGGAACCACAGGTGACCGGCGGCCACGGCACGCGGCCGGCGGTCAGACTGTCACGGCGTCCGGCCGGCGGCTCGACCGTCACGGGACGAGGCTGGCGCTCCGACCGTCACGGCACTCCGACCGTCACGGCGTCCGGCCGGCGCTTCGACCGTCACGGCGTCCGGCTGGCGGCTCGACCGTCACGGCGTCCGGCCGGCGCTTCGACCGTCACGGCGTCCGGCCGGCGGCTCGACCGTCACGGGACGAGGCTGGCGGTCCGACCGTCACGGCGTCCGGCCGGCGCTTCGACAGTCACGGCGTCCGGCCGGCAGTCCGACCGTCACGGCACTCTGCGGGCGGCGCGATTGTCTGCCGCGCTGTCTGGCTCTCTCCACCACAATGTCTCTACCCCCATCACTCTCACTGCCCCACCTCCGCTAGTCCTGTCGTTTTGACGACCTGTAGATCCGTCTGCCTATCTGCTTAGTTTGTGGGTCCCTAGACTATCTCCATCACTCTCACTGCCCCACCTCCGTTAGTACTGTCTGTGTGACGACCTGTAGATCCGTTTGCCTATCTGCTTAGTTTGTGGGTCCCTAGACTATCTCCATCACTCTCACCGCCCCACCTCCGCTAGTCCCGTCGTTTTGACGACCTGTAGATCCGTCTGCCCATCTGCTTAGTTTGTGGGTCCTTGGACTGTGGTTCGAATGACTGCTGGAAGGCCTTAGCTATTGCCTCGATGAGTGTTTGGAATCCTGCACCATTGCTGGGTGGACTGTATTGACTGTCAGACGGTCGGTGATGCGTGGGTTTCATGACTAGGTCCCAGACCTGTTAGCGGCGACGGCCCTTGACTGACTGGGGCGACGGCGTCCTGCCGGCGCAACGGCCGCTGCGCGCGGTCTTACCGCCTGACCGTCGGTCTTCGCCTGTCCGCCAGAGGAGCGCGCCGTCTGCCAGTTCCACTACTCGGCCTGGCCGGACCACGGCGTGCCCAGCTCGGTGGTGCCGCTGCTGCGCATGATCCGCATGCTGCGCGACACGCAGGCCTCGGAGACGCTGCCCGTGCTGGTGCACTGCTCGGCCGGCTGCGGTCGCACCGGCACCGTCTGCGCCATCGACTACGTCTGGGGACTGCTGAAAGCCGGCGTACGTGGCGGCCCGGGCCGGCCTCCCTCGGCCGTCAGCGGGACGGGCGCGAGGCGGATGGGCGCCCCGCGGCCAGGCGCGACACCCACGCGTTCGTGCGCTGTGGCTCCGTGCGAGCGTCGTCCTGGTCGCCGTATGGCGTTTGAGCCTTCTTTGGGTCGTCTTGGTCACGCTCTGTAAACGGACTGCTGTCAACTGCGTGGATATGTGGGGAGTGAACGAGCCTGTACGCGTGCCTGATTGGATGGCTCCAGACTTGGCGAGCCAGGTGCGGCATGTCGGTGTCTGAGCCACGACCGTCTTGCCGTGCTGTAGGTGCACCCATGAAACCCAGAACGTGGTGAGCTGTGACAGAACGCGTCGGTGTTATGCAATAGTCTAAGCCTGCAGTGACCGAGCGTGCCTCGATGGACCGGCCGCCAGCCCTCTCGCGTATGCAGAGTGCGCTTCGCCTGACGGCACCGTCCCGCTTCTGCCGCTGCAGAAGCTGACGCCGGCCTTCAACCTGTTCGACCTGGTGGCCGAGATGCGGCGCCAGCGGATAGCCATGGTGCAGACCAAGGACCAGTACATGCTGGTGCACCGCGCCGTGCGTCAGCTGTTCCAAGACCAGCTGCGCATGATCGAGTCGCATCCGTACGCCAACGTGGACATCGCCGGCAAGCCGCTGAGCGGGGACCGGACGCGACCGGCCGCCAACGACGGCGACTACGAGGAGATCTGCTTGGCGGAGGGTCAGTGGCAGCGGCGTCGGCCGGTGTTGCCCGCCGGCAGCGAGGCGGGGGAGTGCCGGGAACGCTGTCGGTTGTCGTGCAACCCCGCACGACGCGCCACGGGCTACCCCGGGTGGGTTGGGAATGACGGGAACGGACCTGTGCAGCGTTCTGGTCTGGTGTTCTTTTGATGTGAGCCTGTTGTGGCGACGAGCTGCGGGACTTTGGGAGCGACTAACGGGCTAGGTTTCCGGTGGCAGCTGCTGACAGATGCGGCGCTGTGCGTGTTGCAGACCCATCGCCGCCCGCGCAGAAGCGTCCGGCGCCGTCGCCCCCGCCTCAGATCAAGCCGCCGCCGCGCAAGAACGCCCCTCGTAACCGCGCCCGGCCGCCGCCGCTGCCCCTGAAGCGGCGGGCGCCGCAGCCCGAGGCGGCATCGGAGCAGCCGGCGGCGGCGGCGGCGGCGGCGGTGCAGGACGTGGCCGGTGGTGAACCGGGCCTGGCGCCGCCGTCGGCCGCGCTCGGCGGCAGTCTGGACCGCCACCGGCCGGCGGCCGACGGGCCCACCATGGACGACGGACAGCAGCAGTACGCCGGCTCGCTGGACCGGGCCGAGGCAGGCCGGCGCTCCAGCGTCGGCCGGCTGCGTCAGGTGTTCGAGAGTCCGGCCGAGCCGGCGCCGCCGACCGCCCGGCTGGCACGCAGCAAGAGCAGCGCGCTAATCCGACCGCGCCGCCGGCCGGCCGGCCGCGCACCGGCAGTATCTGCGTCGCGCCGCTGCAGCTGCACGTGCCGCGCGGTCGGCCGCAGGAGCCGGCCCGGCCGGCGGCGACCGGCGACGTGCGGCCGGTGCCGGCGGCGGCCTGCGCGCCGTCGCCGCCGCCGCCGCCGCGGGCCGCCGACCGGCCGGCGCCGCTGCCTGAGCGGCGGCCGATCCTGCCGATCAAGCGCAGCAAGTCGCTGAAGGTAACGGCGCGGCCGCTGCGCGTGCAGCCGCGCCAGGGGCCCGCCTACCTGGCGCTGGAGAACGCGCCGAGCCTGCATTTGCAGCCGTGGTCTGTGCCGAACCACGCTGGCCCCGACCGACCGGTCACCGTCGAGCTGGCGCCGGCAGCGCCGCAGGGCCCGCCGGCGGGCGGACCGACACCCGCCGCCGGCCGGGGCGCCGCGCCGCCGGTCAGCGCCGCCCGGCAGACGGCGCCGACGCCCGCCAGCCGGTCGGCCGCCGCCGTCCGGCCGCTGTACGTGAACGTGTCGACTCCGCTGTCGAGGCTGGCGCTGTCGCCGGCGGGCAGCGGCGGCTCCGGTGGCTCTCCGCCGCGCCACGTCAACATCGCCCTGCTGCGCCAGTACGAGGAGGAGCTGGTGCAGCGCAGCCGCGAGCTCGGCCTCAACGACACGCTGACGGAGGAGCAGCTAAGCCCGCGGCGCCCGCCGGCGGCGGCGCCCAGCTACCTGGCGCGCCTCGAGGAGCCGGCCGGCCGCTCTTGGGCCGGGCCGCCGCTGCTCAGTCCCGCTCTGGTCACCTCAGTGGCGTCCATTGGTGGCGGCGGTGAGCCGCAGTACGCCAACGTTCCTCCATTGGCCGGGTCGGGGCGCGGCCTGCAGCGGCGGTCGGAGCGGCCCGCTCCGCCGGCGCGCGAGGCCGATCCGACCGCCAACTACCCCAACTGCACGCCCGAGGCGCGCTTCAACCTGCGCCGCATCGAGACCGACCTGCTGCGCAACCAGCGCAGCGGCATCTGCGACGCCAGCGGCGACACGGCGAGGGCGACCTCGGTCGACGAGGGCCGCGTCAGGTCAGCGGACGAGGCTCGGCTCCGACCCTCGGACGACGGCCGCGCAAGGCCAGTGGACGAGGGGCGCGCCAAACCGGCGAACGAGGGCCGAGGTCGACCCGTGGACGAGGTCCGAGTCCGACCCGTGGACGAGGCCCGAGTCCGGCCCGTGGACGAGGCCCGAGCCCGGCCCGTGGACGAGGGCCGATCCCGACCCGTGGACGAGGGCCGATCCCGGCCCGTGGACGAGGGTCGAGCCCGGCCTGCGGACGAGGCCCGAGGCCGGCCATTGGACGAGGGTCGAGCCCGGCCCGTGGACGAGGCCCGAGCCCGGCCATTGGGCGAGGTTCGAGGCCGGCCCGTAGACGAGGGTCGAGGCCGGCCCGTGGACGAGGTTCGAGGCAGACCCATGGACGAGGGCCGAGCCCGGCCGGGGGATGAGTCGGCTGCCGGCGGCCAGCGGGCGGCGGCGGCGCGGGGCTGGCGAGTCCGCGAGCGTCGCAACAGCTTCCGTCAGGCGGTAGAGGGCGGCGAGCCGGGCGGCCGGACGGCCCACTATGAGACGGTCTGGGGCGGCGCCGAGCCGGCGGCCGCCTGCAACTCGCTGCCGCCGGCCGGCGCGCTGCTGGCGCCGCTGCCGTTCTCGGGGCCGCGCCCCCGCCCCACCGTCGTGCCCGCTTCCAGCTACATCGTGCAGGGCGACGGAGGCGAGGGATCGGGCTCGCCGCGGTCCATCGGAAACTCGCTCTTCTGGTCGGACGGGGCCGGCCGCTCCGAGTCCGTCACCGCCGCCACCGCCGCCGGCGTGCCGAAAGCGATGGCCAACTCGGTGTTCTACAGCCCGACGCCGAGCCCGCCTGGCCGCTCCACCAGCCTGAACGTGTCTGAGAACTCCGCGTTCAAGCCGTACCTGCCGGACAAGGCGACCAGCCCCAACTACGCCACCATCTACCGGCCCGACACGGGTGAGTGGGCTGGCGGCAGTGCTGCTGTTGCTGCTGCGCCCTCCTCCGTCCTGGACCAGCCTTTCCAATGGCGAACATGCTGGTATCATCACCGGAGCCAATATCTAGTGTTTGTATGCGTGGCTGTCACCAGCAGTACTTTCGCCTCGGTGATGACTGCAATATTGCAGACCGTGACAACAGGGAAAGGTGGCATGGGCTGCAGCAGGGGCGGACTGCAGTGATTTGCACTGTGGCAAAGAGAATCATGGGCATTGTAAGCTGCAATAATAGAGGGTCTGTCGGCGTCACTGATCCCTCTGACCCGGTAGCCGCTGCGCGAGCCCACCGACCATCCGCGCTAACGCTGACCCGGTGTCCGTCAGCCGCAGGGGGCGCGGCCGTGCCGTCGGGCGCCGCGCAGGAGGAGGCGCGCGCGGACGGCGCGCGCTCGGCTGACTCTGTGGAGCGCGGCCCGGTGGCGCCGCCGCGCAAGAGAGGCGGTTCGGGCCTGCTGCTCAGCCGCCTCAGCGTCAGCCAGCCGCAGCTGGTCGGCCCCAGCCACCGTCAGTACCCGGCCACGCCCGCTGCGCCGCAGCCGCCCTGTGGGGAGGGCGCACCCAGGGCCCCACAGGCGCGGCCTGATCAGTGTCGGTGATGAGGTCCTCTGCTTTAGAACCTGTCTGATTTGCTACCCTGCCTCATGGTTACCTTTCGTAGCGTTGCCTGCGGCAACGTTACTCCCCGTCGCGTTACCTCCCGATAACCCCAAACTAACATCTGCATCGCCCTAGCCATCCGATCACCAGCGTGTCAGAACATGGCCGTGGGATGCCGTGTGTAGCGAACAGCAGTGCGCCGGGCTATCGAGGGTGACCGTCTGTGGTCCTGTACAGTACCGTCTGTGGTGCCTGGACCCGTCACACCGGGCTGTCGAGGGTGGCCGTCTGTGTGGTGCTGTTCAGTACCGTGGGTGGCGTCTGGACCCGCCACACCGGGCTATCGAGGGTGGCCGTCTGTGTGGTCCTGAACAGTACCGTGGGTGGCGTCTGGACCCGCCACACCGGGCTGTCGAGGGTGGCCGTCTGTGTGGTGCTGTTCAGTACTGTGGGTGGCGTCTGGACCCGTCACACCGGGCTGTCGAGGGTGACCGTCTGTGTGGTCCTGTACAGTACCGTCTGTGGTGCCTGGACCCGTCACACCGGGCTGTCGAGGGTGGCCGTCTGTGTGGTGCTGTTCAGTACCGTGGGTGGCGTCTGGACCCGCCACACCGGGCTGTCGAGGGTGACCGTCTGTGTGGTGCTGTTCAGTACTGTGGGTGGCGTCTGGACCCGTCACACCGGGCTGTCGAGGGTGACCGTCTGTGTGGTCCTGTACAGTACCGTCTGTGGTGCCTGGACCCGTCACACCGGGCTGTCGAGGGTGGCCGTCTGTGTGGTGCTGTTCAGTACTGTGGGTGGTGTCTGGACCCTTCACACCGGGCTATCGAGAGTGGCCGTCTGTGTGGTGCTGTTCAGTACCGTGGGTGGCGTCTGGACCCGTCACACCGGGCTGTCGAGAGTCGCCGTCTGTGGTCCTGTACAGTACCGTCTGTGGTGCCTGGACCCGTCACACCGGGCTGTCGAGAGTGGCCGTCTGTGTGGTGCTGTTCAGTACCGTGGGTGGCGTCTGGACCAGCCACACCGGGCTGTCGAGAGTGGCCGTCTGTGTGGTGCTGTTCAGTACCGTGGGTGGCGTCTGGACCAGCCACACCGGGCTGTCGAGGGTGGCCGTCTGTGTGGTGCTGTTCAGTACCGTGGGTGGCGTCTGGACCCGCCACACCGGGCTGTCGAGAGTGGCCGTCTGTGTGGTGCTGTTCAGTACCGTGGGTGGCGTCTGGACCAGCCACACCGGGCTGTCGAGGGTGGCCGTCTGTGTGGTGCTGTTCAGTACCGTGGGTGGCGTCTGGACCAGCCACACCGGGCTGTCGAGAGTGGCCGTCTGTGTGGTGCTGTTCAGTACCGTGGGTGGCGTCTGGACCCGTCACACCGGGCTGTCGAGAGTGGCCGTCTGTGTGGTGCTGTTCAGTACCGTGGGTGGCGTCTGGACCAGCCACACCGGGCTGTCGAGGGTGGCCGTCTGTGTGATGCTGTTCAGTACCGTGGGTGGCGTCTGGACCCGCCACACCGGGCTGTCGAGGGTGGCCGTCTGTGTGATGCTGTTCAGTACCGTGGGTGGCGTCTGGACCCGCCACACCGGGCTGTCGAGGGTGGCCGTCTGTGTGATGCTGTTCAGTACCGTGGGTGGCGTCTGGACCCGCCACACCGGGCTGTCGAGGGTGGCCGTCTGTGTGATGCTGTTCAGTACCGTGGGTGGCGTCTGGACCCGCCACACCGGGCTGTCGAGGGTGGCCGTCTGTGTGGTGCTGTTCAGTACCGTGGGTGGCGTCTGGACCCGCCACACCGGGCTGTCGAGGGTGGCCGTCTGTGTGGTGCTGTTCAGTACCGTGGGTGGCGTCTGGACCAGCCACACCGGGCTGTCGAGGGTGGCCGTCTGTGTGGTGCTGTTCAGTACCGTGGGTGGAGTCTGGACCAGCCACACCGGGCTGTCGAGGGTGGCCGTCTGTGTGGTGCTGTTCAGTACCGTGGGTGGCGTCTGGACCCGCCACACCGGGCTGTCGAGGGTGGCCGTCTGTGTGGTGCTGTTCAGTACCGTGGGTGGCGTCTGGACCAGCCACACCGGGCTGTCGAGGGTGGCCGTCTGTGTGGTGCTGTTCAGTACCGTGGGTGGCGTCTGGACCCGCCACACCGGGCTGTCGAGAGTGGCCGTCTGTGTGGTGCTGTTCAGTACCGTGGGTGGCGTCTGGACCCGCCACACCGGGCTGTCGAGGGTGGCCGTCTGTGTGGTGCTGTTCAGTACCGTGGGTGGCGTCTGGACCCGCCACACCGGGCTGTCGAGAGTGGCCGTCTGTGTGGTGCTGTTCAGTACCGTGGGTGGCGTCTGGACCCGTCACACCGGGCTGTCGAGGGTGGCCGTCTGTGGTCCTGTACAGTACCGTCTGTGGTGCCTGGACCCGTCACACCGGGCTGTCGAGGGTGGCCGTCTGTGTGGTGCTGTTCAGTACCGTGGGTGGCGTCTGGACCCGCCACACCGGGCTGTCGAGGGTTGCCGTCTGTGTGGTGCTGTTCAGTACCGTGGGTGGCGTCTGGACCAGCCTGAAGTGACCGGGATGCCAGGACGCCAGGCTTTGCGGTGCGGCGTGTGACGTTCGGTGACGCCGGCAGTGTTTCTGACTGACATCGAGCTGGACGGTGGCGGCCGGGACTCGGACACCGAGTCACTGCCGCCGGCTGTTCCCGAGAAGACGCAGGCCGCCTACCAGATCCCGACGCCGGTCTGCGAGCTGCGCGAGCCGACGGCACCCGCCCCGCCCGACGCCGTCCGTGAGTGAGGCCCGTTGGCCGCCACCGGACTCCCCCACTGGCAATGCAGCACTCGAGCTGGGTCGCTGGGCTAGCTGCGCTTTGTCTTGGGCCGGACAGAGCTTTGTTCTCTTCCGTGGAAGGTCTCCCTTCTTTGCCGTCATGACGAGCCTGAGTGCTGCCCGACGAGAAACGTTCGGTGGGTGATGAGAAAGGAACCTGTCCCGTTTTCTGGCCCTGGCCCGGTACGTCGTCTGGCGCTAACTCCGTCCGTTGCCCCGTGTTGTCCGACGGTGACTCAATGCGTTACCTGATGACGGCCGGCCGCGTTGTCGGACGTCCCCGGTCAGTTGCGTGACGTCGCCGCTGTGTACGGTGCCGGCAGTGGGTTACGGCGGGCTGAGCCGGTCGCTCTCGCTGCGGCCGGGCGCCCGTCTGGAGGCCACCGAGCCGCGCCCCTTCAACCGAGCACTGGGCCGGCTGCAGGCCACCGCCTCTAGTCTGCGCTGGCGGCTCAGTGGTCGCGCCGAGCCATCCTCCGCCGCCGCCGCCACCGCCGCCGCCGCGCCGCCGCCGGCCGCCGACCGGTCCCCGACCGGCGTCAACGCCCACAGCCGCCAGGCCTATATCTGAGCCGAGGCCCGGCAGCCAGTAGCCGCACTCTCCACACGAGACTCACAGTATTTATGATACATGCTGCGCGCGCGCGACACACAGGTGATCTGGCGGACCCTTTTGTCCGTCATTGTGATATATGTACTCATGATTATTGCTGTGCGTCAGATCTGTGCCCTCGCCGTTTCTGTTTGCCTTTTAGCTGGTAGCCGCCAGCCGGCTAGAGTCAAGCGGTGCGTCTTGCCCCCCGCCCCCCCCCCCCCCCCCCTCCCCAGGGAACCGTCGAATAACTCCCGACCGTGCTGGGGACGGCGAGCTTCCCAGCGCTAATTTGCACTCCTGGCCGCACGTGTCGCCCCACTGACAGGGCATTTATGCTTCGTTGTTGTTTCGGCACGCGTCCCACGCGTGCGCCTGGCCGCCACGTGTGATGTCAACCGCTCGGTAACGTTCGTAGTTTACGAAAGACAGGAGAGGGTGGCTGCTGAGAGATGGGGGATGTGGGGTTCCAAAGATGAAACTCGGATCAAAAGCTTCCGGTTTGCATGAGCTGTTTGTATACTTTAAACGGTGAGAACCGATGCATTTTAACCTTGCTATAGTTATTAGACACTACACCAATGTTGAATAAAAACATACCTGCACCGTGTTGTTATTCATATGCGAATGTTTCGGCCACACCTGCCCACTGCTCGCGGGCCGGAAACGAATGCTCCGCGACGTTCATGAATCCCGTGGACTTCCGACGACGCTCCACGTATGCCCTGCCGACCGCCTCCATGTCAGCGGCGACCCGACACGATGCCAATTTTTTTACTCAAGGTAAGCGAGGCCAGAGATTTGCGGCACTTCACGGGCCTGAAAATGACGCAATATCCCCGGGAGAGGCGTACAGGGCCGACGTTCGATGCTGCGCACGGCGTCGCGCTCTCCGGAAGCCCCTGGATCACGCTCTGCATACTTAAGGTGCCAGGTTTGGGATAAATGTCCCATCACGGGCGCCGTGACGACCAAACTTCTGAAATTCGGCCGTATTCTTTCCAGAGATGTGGAGCGGCTGGCACAGTACAGAGCAGCTGTTTATAACCGCATCTCCACGCTGCAGGCCATATGTCTGGAAGAGGAGCTGATTAATCGCCGGATGCTGCGAACACGGGCTGGGAGACGGTGGATAGCCAACGTGCCTAGGGAGCAAACGGCAATCGCCGAGCAGAGCAGGGAAGTGGCGTGTCCTGTTTACTGTGAGGTTTTGGAAGACGCGTGAAAGGGCAGTACTAACTATTGAGTCAGCTGAGGTGCAGGCAACTGGTCGTAGACAGGAAAGTTGAACGCGTCATGACGAGAATAATAGAGAAGCACAAGAGCAAGGACGTCAGAGAATCCATGTAGCGGATGCATGGACAGACCAGGCCGTCCGCGGTGGATCGTTGTACCCGGGCGCCAGCCGCTGCTGTCAAATATCAGCCGCCAATCATCCGGCCGATATGAGACGACCAGCAAAGATGTCTGGCGGCGGCTCTTCACCTGCTGCCAGCGCGATCGCCCGTACCGCATCCGTACAGTGCCTTTACTGCAGCGGCTGTCACTGCCACACGCTGCTCGATCTTCAAAGGGCCTCCAGTCAGCGAGAGGCTTGCTTGGACCCGCGCCGAGGACCGCTACACGTACTGCATGGACTTGGGCTACCAAATGACGGCATGCCGCAGAATGATAGGTAGGATAGGATAGCGTGATAGGTAGGATGGCATAGGTATCCCTGCGGCGTGATAGGTAGGATAGCTTAGGATAGGCCGGGGCGAAAAACATGGCTTTTGCCCCCCACCTGGTGACAATGTTAGGACAGGTAGTGTGTTGAAATGCGTCAAACGGTCAGTGAGGATGAAAACGGTCACCAAAGACGTTACCTGCGCAGACAGAGAAAAGAGATGTGTAGCTTACCTGGATGAAGGCAGCTCGATGACGTTAATGTCCGGAACACTCGCCTGAGACCTCGTCTTCAGGGAATATTATCAGCTGCAGATGAAAATAATTTCAGGATTTTCGGCTGTGAAGTCTCATGTCATTGACCGCGTTTCAGTGGAAAACGCCGCCACAAAAGACGAATTCGTGTTGAAAATATATACCCGGTATGCAGAGCTGAACATCCACAAGATCCCGATCGCGGCCAAGCGGCTGGTTGACTATTCCCAGTGTTGAAAGAGCTGGGAGTAGAGCCGCTCGATGAGCCGCCAGACCTTGGATAATGCCAAGCTCATTGCAAGCAGGGCAATTCGCGTAACGGCAAAAAAGCGAACCTTTCTTACACAGACGGAGCTGGTACGCACGCTCACGGGACACGTTGGCACTGCTATCAACACCGACGAGCACAACGTCCACCCGTCAATCGTCCGTCGATATCGTCCGTCCGTCGATATCCACCCGTCAATCGTCCGTCGACAATGAAGTGGATAGCGTGCTAACGTGGTCGTGGTCCACGGAGGCTTCCGGATGCGCATGCGAGTTTCAAAACGCGCGGCCTCGTGTACCGCGAAACCGGGAAAAAACTGGACGTGACGGTCTACCGTGACGGGGAGCGGTAGACAGCATCGCTCTTCAAGAACAAAGGAGAAATACCGGACGCGAAACCGGGAAAAAACTGGACGTGACGGTCTACCGTGACGGGGAGCGGTAGACAGCATCGCTCTTCAAGAACAAAGGAGAAATACCGGACAGCAAAGAGGCGGCAGGGAAAAAACCTCTGTCTCTCGAAAGATGATTGAATGGAATGAGGGGAAGCTCGGACAGCGATGAAGGCACAGCTCACGTACGAAAAAATGACAGAATGTTGGCAGACAACCAATTCCGCAAACTTTCATCAGCCAAGGCCACCGACAAGCCAGCGAGCACAAGGTATCTGTCCTTACCGACAGTCCGTGGTGCCAACAAGCCGGGCAAAACCCACGAGTAGAAGATACCACATGTTTGTGGCGAATCGTCTGGCGGAGATCCGTGACGTCACTTCGCCAGACGAATGGAACTACGTACCTACTCACCCCAACGTTGCCGGTTCCGGGTCTCGTGGGCACCAGCTTAAAGACGTGACCACGGAGTAAGTGTGGGCCGGATTTCCACGGAGTAAGTAAGGGGGCCGGATTTCCTGCGCCAGGTGTCCGCGAACAGGGCCTGCCAGGAGCCGATTGACCCTAGCGCTATACTCCAGGGCGATCCAAACACAAAATGTGCCTTCGCCATGGCTGTTGCTGAAGAACAATCAAGCCTCAGAGGACCAATGCCAAGTAGCTTTCGCTTCCCGCGCTGGCTGGTAACTGTGCGCTGCGCCGCCACTATGAGGCGATGGCCTACGCGGCATCGCGACAAGATCACCGGAGATTGCTCTGCGGATGACAACCGTCGCTGAGAACTTCTGTGTTAAGTATGCTCAAGAGCGGGCAAACGGTCGCGAGCTTTTGGACTTAAGAGCCAATCTACATCTCCAAGCCAACAGGTCGCACTTCGTGAACCTGTTGTGGACTCTCACCAGTTTTGACAAAAGGAGCTGATCAGGCTTTACACAAGGATGAATAACTCCCTTTAGCTTACATCATCAGTAAAATTTCCGCCGATCCTACCTCGCCATCATACGCACACGGAACTTTTCTTACAGCGCACTCATGAAGAGGCGGATCATCGAGCCTTGGATGCGGTATTTACAGACCCGCGCCAGCGCTGCCGGGTGCCACAGACACGGAGCGCAATACTCTCGGCGATTACGGGGTGCCGAGTCTGCCGCTACAAAAGGACATTCCAAGAACACCTGAGGCGACCCTGCTTACCACACAGCGAGTGACTACGACAGCCAGAGAACTCCGTGCCACCGACATAAATCACTTCGGTCACATGCTGTGGTTTCGCGGGTGGTCTACGTTGGAACTGTGGGAGAGTGCTATTCCGCTGATTTGCCGCTTGAGCCGTGCACACCTAGCTCACCGACAGCTCGAACGCTGACGCCACTCTCATGGCCATAACAAGATTCCAAGCTCGCCCTGGAAACATACGAGAAGTGTGGCAGGGCGTGGTACTAACGTACACGCTGCCGATAAGGAGCTGAAGCAGTGTGTACGGTCTCTGGGTCAAGACGCCAGGCATAGAAGGTTGGCCATCGACGGAAGCGAGTGGTTCCTTATTCCCTGTTGGTCTGGAGTTAGGGGTGCATGGGGGGAGGGGGACGTCAGGACTAAAAAGAAAACGCCGAGAGTCATTCTCAAGGAGCACAAGTAGAGGTGTTATTTTAGAGGTGTTACATATTTCGATCTAAGATCTACTTTACGATGCCCCTGTACAACGAAGAGAAGTTCTAGCACAGCACAGTCTCTACTGCAGTCGATGCTGGCATGCGAGGTAAAAAAGATGAAGAGTTCGACGTTCTTTATGGGGGCACAACATCCGAATGTGCTCATGGAGGATTCGGTGATCATCGTCGACCATTAACACCCGCGGGGAGTATGGCCTAGAGCGGAGCTTGAATCGGTGATCACTGCGCCGGACAGCTGTGTCAGATCGGCACGAGTTCATACGGCACATGGTGTGCTCCATCGCCCAACCAGGAATCTGGTGGTTCTGGATGTCGGAGATAAGTGATCATGCAACTGCCAGGTCTGTAACGGGTCTCTACAAGTTGGGGAATGCTGGGAACGGGCATATGTTTACCTGTTAATTATCCGTTGTTCTCATTTAGTTTGAATCGGGACTTATTTCTTAATTGGGAGACGTTGTTTGGTTGCATGCTTTGGCACCTGAAAAATGTTTTTATTAATTCGTATGGTCAGTTTGTCTTATATTCATCGTAAAATAACGCCTTTTGAAATAAATTCGTACCGTTCAGAAATTGGACTGCGGCGTATACTCCACGTGAATATTTTTTTGCTTCTCCTCTAATGAGATATACAGCGATAGCAACACGAAAATAGAGATTCTACCTTTCCTTGTCCAGTTCAACCGACAAATTCTTGCAACGGTTCGCGGTGCTATGAATGCTAACCCGTTTAAATTATAAATATGAAATTTGCACAGGTGAAGTATGCTCCAGGAGTACCTTCCAAGCGTTCCAATTGACATCTGAAGGCGTTCAAAGGTACGTCCTTCAGAAAATGTGTCGTTTTCATCCCCCGCTCGGCCACCGTCTAATGTTAGACACAGGACCTACGCCGCACGGCCTCAGGAGACTGCAACGCCGGGCGTTGGCGGCTCTTGTAAGACTTGCGAACACGCATGGCCGAACCTGGGACATGTAATTCTTCCCTACATGATTCTGAACAAATTTGAGCATTCTGAGACCAAAACAGGCTGATTTGAATGCAAATTTACGACCTTATTTCGATCTAAGATCTACTTTACGATGTCCCTGTACAACAAAGAGAAGTTCTAGCACAGCCCCTGGGTGCTATCGGTTTGAAAAGAGTCCACCAAAACATTATAAATTGAATAGCACTGGCGTGTTTCCTTCAGTTTACTGACAAGCAGCATTGCAGCAAGAAAACAAGCAGCATTGTATCTCTTGGGGACTCCTGGCTTTTGAAGGCAGGGCTCACTTCGAAATCAAGTGAGCCACATCCGATGACTTCTTTTTGGATGGGAGCCTTTGCCCAGCGGAGGGCTTGATCAACCCTGTCCCCCCCCCCGCAATTACCAAGACTCGGGCTGTTTCCCTGGGTCGGTACGCCCATTGAGCACCGAGTATGCCTACGCAAGTATCATCGCGTGGCATCTGGAAGGTCAGCTCAACTAGTAGCGCTGTTACAATCAACCTGGATTACGCATAATATTGATATGACGGGTGTTCCATTTTTTTCACACTCCCGAAGCAAAACGGGGGGGGGGGGGGCTGCTTTCCCTTCAGAGGCCCAACAGCTTTGAGCAGTGTCCCCTGGACGTATAGTTGGCTTGCATTTCGTGTTTATTGAAAAGAGGGGAAAGGGATTCTCAACAAAAGGGCATCTGCGAAGCGCATTTGCGGAAAAATTGAAAATCATGTTATTAACTTTTGCGTGGAATGAACATCGACTGTAGTTCACATCATTTCAGTGACATTGATATTTACTAAACGGCAGATATTTTATCGATGGCATTTTGGTGTATTGAGAACCTGCGTATAAATGGGTTATGATAGTCATGTATATTGTGGACAATGGACACTATTCTTGTGAACGGATGAAAGCAAATAATAAAAAATGCAACAACATAATGGTTAACTATACACCAATTCACTTTTTCAGTATGCTAGAGAGAGCTGCAACTGCATCCCGTTAGCCTTCCAAAACAAGTGCCTTTATGAGAATCAGATGCAATCTGCAAGGATTCCGTGCATGACTGCTGTGGCCACGCACATGACCTTTAAATATATGTATGCAAAGTATGTATATATATATATAACTGATAGCCAGAACGTCAGGCAGGAAATCCGGGAAGCTTTTGACCCTGTCCCTTACGACTAGTTTTGCGAATCTGCCCCTCCCCAAGTCATTTTCATAGATCGATACCCATGTCATTGGCCGTCTGATGTGAGATGGCACCGAGAGCGGAGGTCCGCTCGTCCTCGACAGACGCAGCGGTACTCTGGGCGGAGGTCCGCTCGTCCTCGACAAACGCAGCGGTACTCTGGGCGGAGGTCCGCTCGTCCTCGACAGACGCAGCGGTACTCTGGGCGGAGGTCCGCTCGTCCTCGACAGACGCAGCGGTACTCTGGGCGGAGGTCCGCTCGTCCTCGACAAACGCAGCGGTACTCTGGGCGGAGGTCCGCTCGTCCTCGACAGACGCAGCGGTACTCTGGGCGGAGGTCCGCTCGTCCTCGACAGACGCAGCAGTACTCTGGGCGGAGGTCCGCTCGTCCTCGACAGACGCAGCGGTACTCTGGGCGGAGGTCCGCCCGTCCTCGACAAACGCAGCGGTACTCTGGGCGAATAGCGTTACCAAACCACTGGCAAATGTAGATCACTGTTAGCGTTTTCAAATTTTACAAGCTGCTATTAGTATATGTTAGTGGGGTATCAGTCGCGCTTATTTGCGAAGAAGCGAACGTCATTGTTCCATATTTTTCCTGCCTTCCTCACTTGCGGCTTCCTCCTGGATCCTCGTAACGTGACGCCGTACCGGAACCATGCTGTGGCTATTAGTAATGAGCTGGCCTCATTGTCACCCTGGAGGAGTCCCGCTCGAGCACG